TAAGCTGTAGCATCTTTGGAACAGTAAGTAAATATTGTATACTTTGTATGCTGCTGAATACACTTATGCACTTATCCGTTTATGCTGGCAGATTATCTGCATGCTCCTATATTTCATAGACATTTGGGCTGGAAGGGACCCCGGAGGATCATCGAGTCCAGCCCCCCATCCCAGGGGCAGGAAGTCAGCAGGGATCATAGAATCCCAGCAAGATAAGCATCCAAATGTGCTTTGAAGGCGTTCAAAGTGGGTGCTTGAACAGCCTCTGGTGGCAGTCTGCTACAAACCTTGAGGGCTCGGATAGTGAAGAAGTTCTTTCTTATGTCCAGCCTGAACCGGTCACAGTGGAGTTTGTGACCATTCAATCTTGTCATCCCTTAGGGGGCTCTGGTGAATAGTTGTTCCCCCAGATCCTGGTGAGCACCCCAATAAGCTTATAGGTGGCCACTAGATCACCCCTGAGCCTCTGCTTTTCCAGGTTGAATAGCCCCATTGCTCTCAGCCTCTCATCATAAGGTCTGTTTTCATGACCTCTGTGTGCGTGGCTCTCCTCTCAAGCTTCTCCACATCCTTTTTGAATTGTGGAGCCCAAAACTGGATGCAGCACTCCAGCTGTGGCTTCACCAAGGCCGAGTACAGCAGGAGAATGACATCCTGGGATCTGCTTGAGAAGCATCTATGGATGCAAGCCAGCGGTTTGCTCACTTTACTAGCTGCTTTACTATATGAAAGGCATTTATTAGGGCTGGGCGAAGCTTCAGTCCCTGATTCGATTCAGCTCAATTCAGTGGCTGAATCTCCAAATCCAAATCAAATTAGGAGACTCTTTAATCTCTCCAAGTTGAATAGGAACCCTCCGAATCAATTCGGAGAGATTCTGACATAGACACAGCTTTAAATGTTTTATCGGGTGGCTCGTTAATGCTGTGGTGGTGGGGTAGATGGAGTATCCCACAGGAGTTGCAGGGGCCTCCCCAGTACGCTCTGCAGCAGACCCAAAAGTGAACCAGAAGCACTTTTGCTTCACTGGGAAGCATGCGGGGGACCCCCCCACTGGTGCCTCCTGGGTCTTCGGGGGGCACCTGGGGCCCTCCCATGTCTGATCACTGAGCTGGGGAGGTGTGGGGGCCTCCTATGGGACACTCCATCTGCCTCAGCATCACAGCATTAATGAGGCATGCCTGGTACCTTGAGGTATATAGAAAAAATATTTAAAGCTATATCTATGACTGAATTGCTGATTCTCCAAATCAGCATTGAATCTTTGGATTCAGCTGAATCAAATTGGGGACAGTGATCTGAATCCAATGAATTGAATCACTGTCTCCGATTCGGGCCAAATCTGAATCAAATACGGCCCGTTTTGCACAGCCCTAGTTTTTATCCAGAAAGACAATTGTGATCTTTTCTCATTTACATGGATGATGATTACATGTTCCATTGCCTTTGCCATTTCAAGGTGAGATTTCTGTTAATGCAGGGGTGACCATCCTGCAGTATGCATGCCACACATGGCATAGCCAGCTTCTGTGTGGTGTGTGGACAGGCAGCACAGTGACAGATAGGACATGAAGCAGAAAGCAGAGCAGCTGATCAGGCAGGGAAGGAGATGAGCAGCATACAGGAAGGGCTAATAGTGGCTCACCTGCCATAACCTTCCTTCCTTCATTGTTCTGCCAGACTCTTTATTTTTTTTTTTTTTTTTTCACTTTCTAGGTCCCTTTCTCCCTCTTCTTGAAGGCTCCTGAGGAAAGTGTGGGCAGAAGCTGAAGGACTCAAGTATAATGCTTTGTTTAAATTCATACTGAGATTGTTAACTGAAAGGGTGCAATGGACTAAAATACACCTATATTTTTAATACTTAGTCCAGAGCAATGGACTAAAATATACTTAAAGTTGTGACTTAGTCATGTAAATGTTTAAAATACATGTTTAAACATTTGCAATATTGTATTTGCATGTATGGACATGCCAATTTAGCAAATGTTAGCCAACTTACCTAAATCTTTTCCTGATAAAAAGATTACAAAATAGGTGCACAAATCCCATCTCAGATCTCCATGCTTGACCTTACTACCAATATTTTGCCCTTTTGATACACATGAATCTACCTACAGGGATGTCACAAGTTACTGAGCAAATGCACCTGCATTGCTCTAGACAGATGGAATAAAAACTTTTTAGGCTATAAAGCAATATAAGATACACTATGAAAATAATTGTTTGGATGCTTGTTTTTTTCCTACATGAACTAGTGTTTAGGTGCTTCTGTTTTTGAGTGCTTAATACAATACAGCGATTTCAAACTCATCTAGCCCTGCAGGCCACATGAGTGTCATTGGGCTGCTCTGTGGGCTGGATTGGAACTGTCCCCCTGTGCCACAGGTAATGCCCCATGGCAACAGATCCAGCTCAGGTACTGCATGCAGCATATGCCAGCTGCACTCCAGAGCTCATGATGCATGTGATGTGTGGGCTAGACCCGGAGCTGCTTGCACTGCTGGCTCTAGCCCTGCATGCTGGATCTGGGTCCAGTCCAATTGGGCTGTGCCAGAGGCAGTGTGTAGGACTTGTCAGGAAGGCACCGCATACTGTGTGCAACCCCCAGTCCCATCTGTGCAGAACATGCAGACCCAGCCCCAAGGCCAGCATGTGCTGCACAGGGCATAAGGGGCTGGCATAGGGCATGCATTGCATGTGGCACCTGCCTCTGGCACAGCCCAATCCAGACTGGCCCCAGAGCCAGTGTGCAGGGCCAGGGCTGGAGTGTGCTCCATGCAGCACATGGGATCAGTCCAGAGACCCATGGGTTGGATGATATAGGCTAGTTGCCTCCATGGGCCACAGGCTGGATCCCACCCACGGCCTGTAATGTTTGACACCTCTGATCTAAGACATTTTAAAAATGCCTGACTTCCAAAAAGTTCTGAAAATAAGGCCCCTTTAAGAGGTTACAATTTGGTATCCAAAAAGTGAAGCACCCCAAATTACTAATCACTTTAAAAACCATAGGTCTTGAATATTGTGTCCAATTAAGGCAACGCTGCAAGCAAATTTTTCTCTTTGGTACAGTGACATCTAGTGTCCCAAATACATTTCCTCATGGCAGCAAAGTGAGGATGTTAACACATACAAAACCAAAAATTTGTTGCCAGGTACCTGGATATTTTTAAGGACATGTGAGAGCACTAAATAATTTGCCTTTAAGCATAATCTCCCTGCACCATAATAATTCACCACAGACCTCTAAGCAAACTTATATAGGTGTAATATTTTAAATTTGAATTTTACCTAGCTATTTTTTTCTATTAGTTTTATTGTCTTTGTTCACCAAGATACTGTTCTTTATTCTAGTTAAATGAAAAAGAAAGCCGTCTTTACCCAAGACAGCTTCCTTTTGATTAGTTTTTGTTGTGCAGTATTTGCTAGTAAATTTTAATATGTTCAGAATAAAATTATTGGAAAGGTAGTGAGATCTAATAGATAAGACACTAAACTTGGATTCACAAGTCTTGGGCTCCTGTTCAGCTACTGATCCACAGACCTCTCTGTGCCTGTGTCCCTTTCCAACTGTTTGCCAGTTCTATTTAAAATGTAAAACATGTGGAACAGTGACTATATCTTATTACATGTTCTTGGAGCAGGGGCGGATTCAGGGGGCATGCAGTGGTGTACTTGCACCCACTTTTTGATTCCTGCTCCACCCAAACTTTAAAACCTGGAAGATGCAGTCATATTTCTATTGAGGCTGTACTGAAGGAGCCAACTGATTTCATGGCTCATTGTAGTCTACCTGGTTCCTGCTAATGTCTCTACATTCCATAGGTGTTAATGACCCTCTCTCCATTTAAAGGCCCTGATGTTCCACTGTTCAAACTGTCTTTTCTTCTGTAAGTCTGCTGTCCCTTAGCCATTCCTGGTAATGTCTTCAATTCCACAGTCCTACAGACTGCTTTTAGCTGCAGCTAAAACTCTTAACTCAGATGCAGCTATATTAACTCAGATGTAGAAATGACTGACAGCGAAGTATTTGAAACACTGTCAAAATGCTCAAGAAGGCTATATTTTATTTTATGAATTTGACTATAATGATGACAGGACTAGTGACACAATATCTTTTGCCTATTTTTGTCTAGTTTCTTGTGTGTTTTTAGCTTAATATATAATCTAGCAAATTAATGCACATTCCAATAAAGTTATATTTGTTTTTGCTTTGACCTTAAACTGAATACTAAAGTGCTAGCCCCCTAGCATATTAGTAAAGCATATTCCATGTTCTCTTTAACCAGAGAAAAATGTGTCACGTTAAATGTGATGATGTGCCCTGCCAGCTACACCTTCCTTTTCAGAATCCTACATCTGCTCATGATTATAACCCCTTCATTTTAAGAGGTCTCAAGGTGCTGGTAGAATATTAAAAAAATATATATATATCCATTCTGTTAACAATAATCTGAATGAGCTGAGTTGAATACAAAAGATCAGTTCAAAGGACAAAAGTCTTATTGTCTATCTTTATTTTAAATCAGTGGTAGAAGAGCCGTTTAACTTCATTCAAGTGCAGAGCAGTCCTAGTTGTATGCTGAGTCTATGGAGCTATTGAAGAATCTGCTTGCTTTAGAACTGAACTTTGTTTTAGATAATGTTATATCTATGGCTAAGCATATTTGGAGTATAAAAAAAAAAATTAATCTGCTGATGCAGTCCAGTGGCCTAGAACTAGTGCTGTAGACTGCCACTTGGAAGACTGAGCACTGGGTCTAAGAACTGGGTTCTCACTCTGTGAAAACAGCCTGTGGCTTTGGCTTTTTTCCTAGATCTATGCTCATCAGGACCCAAGAAAACCGGAAGAATTCACAGAGTAAGTGCTGTTCATTTAAAATTTTAAAGAAAGATAGGAAAAATTTTTGGACTTGCAGGCACTCTCCCTGCAACTCATGTAAAATCTGCTAGGGGGTGATAGATGCTAACTCATCGCTAGGCAGTTTGCAGTAATGGCTTTGTATGTAGTGTTATAATTAATTATTATGCAGATGATAGTGCTGCCAGGAAATTCCAGCCCCACTATACAGATGGAGAGAGGTAGTTCTGGGTCATAAGTTGCATCAGCCTGTGAGTGTTTATTTCTGAGCTCCAGGCTGTGTTACTGAAACAAAGGTCTTTTCCCTTTTGGCTTTTAAATGGCATCCTGGAGAGACATTGTCCAAACACACTCCCCAAAATCATCATGCTCTTGACAGAGACTCTCCACAGAGTGAAAAATATAGGCCATGTACATTATTCTTACTATGAGCCACACCCTAAACCATCATTAGTGTTAATAAGCATTCTCTGCATGGAAGCAGGGAACAATATGCACATTTACTCTTTCTGATGGATTAATGCTTGGATGGTTTTAGGTGCCAGGAGATCCCAGGAACACCTAATGGGAGTACATTGAAACACTAATTACACTAATGAGCAAGAGTTACATTATTTTTCTTTTTTATTACAGCCAATTTAGTAATTCATGGAATTTCTTCAAAGCAATGCGCATTGGCAGACACAGTTTAGGACTCACACGTTAGCAAATAGCTGAACCACAATGGTGTGACTGGAGTGGCCGGTTATATATAATATTCTAAACTTAATTTTTTCCTTTGTGGTAGACGGATCATAAGTGGGTGTCATTTATCCAAGCAATACAGCTTTTTTAGTTTCTAGTTGACTGTGTATCAACATAAAAGATCTGGAGACTAAAACAACATATGTTTTTGGGATGGCTCAGTCCTTTTGCTACTAATATCCTTTGGAATATTAGACGTTCTAGAATAGAAGCAATTTAATGGAACTTTGTCTAATCTCTCTAGGTGACTTTCCCAAGCTCATAAGTGTGATATCTGAGTGCTCTCAGTATACAATATAACTACAGCAAGATTTAGAAAGCATTATTTCTTCTCTGTAAATTGCACAGTTAATTCAGATATATTTGGTTGCATCCTACTCCCACTGAAATCATTGGAAGATTTTACCACTGACTGCTGTGAGCAGGATTGAGCCTATTGCTTTGGAAAAGTGTAGAATCTCTGAAAAGGAAATGTTTCTCATGTTGTCCATCATAGAAGTGATGTATGTTATGTATAACAACCTTATTTTCCTGCCCCAGAGACTTGCTGTTTCATTTCAAATCAAATAAATGTCTTTGTCTGGACTGCCAAAAATATTTGTAGGCTGGAGCAAACTGTTTTTTTCATAGTTTTAGCATCTTTTCTACTACTGATGAGACTAATCTTGTTTAGTTTACTATTTCCAGTGAATTAGAGACTGAGTCACTTTGATTCAAGTCAATGATACAATTCCCTTTGATTTCAGGGGCACAGTACTGGGTTCTTAGACAACAAAAGGTGACAAAGAAAAAGCTAGATGGGCATGGAACAAGAACTGTATCGTATTACAGATATAGCTGAACTATTTATTTAATAAAGTTTAGTGGTTTTGCCCACCACCATACATGCAAATATTGTGGAAACAATAGATGCCCTTTACTGGGTTTTTTGTAGGTGTTGCCTCACATGTCCTAAAAAGTCATAGAACCACTCAGCTGTACAGTTTTCATATACTAAGAGCACAAGGGGTGATATTCTTGACAATTGCACAGAAGTGTGCTTTCATTTGACTTAGCCATATTGCCCAAAAAGTGTCTATCATCAAGGAACACCCCCTACATGTAATATAATATATCCTCTGGGCAACCAGAAGTCTGCCTTTAATATATGCTAGTTATAAGAAGACCCCAATATGTTTGGTCTTGTGATCAAATCCCAGAACTTGAAATGAAATGACTGCTTCCGCAGGCAGGTGACTTATACCATACTTTTTTAACAGGGTGCCTGAAATTAGGTACATAAACATGGATTTAGATGTATAGTCCTGTGCTTCCAAGTATGAACATTTTGCCCTAGTTGTTCACGTTCTTAAATTCTCAGACCCTTCCACAAGCTGTATCCTGTTCCTATTAATATTGGTTTGCCTTTGAGTCACTTGAAGCAGATGCAAGCCCTAACCCCACTCTAATCAGTGAATTAGCTACCTGGCTATTCAGCATATTCCATTTCCTAACCTCCACTGGAGATAATTTAAATTCATTCAGACATTTATTTCCTTGTCAGATACAAGTCTCTTGGCATATTTATTTTCTTTTAAAACACAATATTTCTGACTGTTTGGGGAATTAAGTACTTCGTGTATCAACTGTATATGGCCAGCTATGAAACAGTCTGTATCTTTTTCTTACAAAAAGTTTTTCTTGTTTACAGTATTTGGTTACTATGAGGAACAAACAATCTAAGACCAGGAAATGCAGCTTTAGTATAGAAACAATGATGCCAACTGACAAGGTATGACCAGTTGCTCAGATATCTGCTGACTGGTCTTTTCCATTGCGTGTATTTCTGAAATCTAATTCGTAAACCTTTACTAATCAAATTATAGCCACTTAAGTCAGATGGATAGTTTTTTTTAACTAGTGATAG